AATAGGATGCAATGGAGAAAAAGAAATGGAGAAAAAGAATTCATGTAGCGGACCCCACATAGTGGGATTAAGGCTTTGTTATTGTTGTAGCAGTTATTTCTTTTCTTATTTTATATTTATTTCCTTCGATTATGAATTATTTCTTTTTTTATATTAGTTTTTCCTATTTTAACTTATTTCATTTATCTGATAATAATTAATATGAATTGATTATTGGAAAATTAGGAGATATATCTTTTCTTACATACTATTTTAATTTTATTATCTTTCCTATTCTAGAATTTATGTAAGGTTTATTTATATCTCCTCTCATATCAATGAAAAAACCGTTTTATTCCACATTATTCTGAATTTCAAAAAATACCTTTAAAAAATCTGAAATCAATAAACATGTCTAAAAAGTCAAGGGCTACTTTGGCCATTCATTCCAAACAAAGATATAGTTTATAAGGATTGTGATTCTTAATACACATCTCCAAACAAAGATATAGTTTATAAGATTGTGATTCTTAATACACATCTTTTTTTTTTTTTGCAGCGATTTAAAAGTGAAATTTCAGTGATTAAAGTTTCAGAAGTTAACAGCAGAAGTAAGAGATTGTTGGTTTGATATACATTCATTAGTCCATTAAACCTCCAATGTTGGGGCATTTCAACTTTAAATCGTCAGGTAATGTATAAATACAGCTTCCTAAGTGTCATCTACTTGCATGCAGATATCTAGAATCTAGTCATAGTAAATATTTACAGTGATATTTGCAACTTCTACATTTAAAAATTTGTAGAATTGACCCTTAACAATCCATGCGAACCAGATTCATGAAAACTTGAACAGAAAATGCACGAAAATGTTTAAGAGGAGAAATGGCAAATCTTTAAGAGAAGTGATCAATGGTGTACCTTTACTACTGCCGAGTACACAACCACCTGGTACTCCGTATGGTCATGGTATGTAAGGGGAGCCTCGATAAAATATGACACAGAATGAGTAAAATAATCGGGAGAAACATATCCTATAATTAGTGGTCGTTCCATAACTTTAGTATTATCCCAGCTAGTGTATTGCTGATAAAGCCTCATAAAACGCCTTCCCCATTCCCTGTAAAGAAGAATTAGTAATTAAGAAACATTTGCACATCAAATATTTGAATAACCAAGTACAAAAGCAAAATATAATCACTTTATATTTCTCCAATAGCAAACTGCAAAAGAAGAATTTAAAAATAAAAAAACAATCATTTCTTGTTTTTGGAAAATTAAATCCAGACAGAGAAAGCGGAAAAATTATAATTGTTAAGTATTGGAAATAGTCAATCTGCAGTAAGAAGGAACGCTGAGAATGTATTTCATTGATTTTATTTCCGTTATTAGATATTTTTGTTTTCTATTTTTTCTTTATTTGGAGAAATTCTTATTTTGATTCCTTTGATTATTATGTATGCATAGTAAGGTGTAAGACAACTAGGGGTTTAAGTGAGTCAAGCTGACTGACGAGCCGACTCGAGCTCGACTCGATAAGTGGCTCTTGAACCGAGCTTGTTGAGCTAACAATTTAAGCTCAAGCTAGCCCCAACTCGACTTGTTAACTCGTGAGCTGTCTCGTTTAAAAGAATATTAATACAAAATAGACCTAAAATATATTAAAGTTAAAGATTTCATCTTTAAAAGTACTAAAAATATTTCAAAAATAATATGTTGTATTTTATATTAAGTGATTTCTTTCTTTAAATTGATCAATTTATTTATCATTTTATTATACCACAATCTTAAATTAATATTATTTTCTCTCTTTTAAGTTAAACAAGCCGGCTTATGAGCTCAAACTCGATAAAGTTAATCAAGCTCAAGCTAAAGGTGGCTCGAGCCCGACTAGACTCGTTTACAACCTCAAAGACATTGAAGCTAGCGAGAAATAAAATTATTTATAGAATTCTACAAAGTAATAAAGCAAAGAAATCTCTCGTTCGTGTTTGAGGGCTTCGTCTCTTTCATCCTCTGAAATCATTGAGATGTATCTGCATCTCAACTACTTCTCACTGTGTTTCAGCAATTAGAGGGAGATCTACGAAGCTCAATCATCCAAGAAGGCGAATCTAGAGAAATCTACGACATTGTCGTTTGATGCGGTTGTACGCAGAAGTCATCTCCTGTTATATGTGTTTTCAGGTCGTTGCTTCGACTCTGACTCTTCCGCTCGACATCATGGCTTCGTCTACGCACGAGCAAGATTGTCGGTCTCATCATCCGGCTCTCCCACTCAAACAAAAATGCTCTATCATGTTGATTCATCTCTTCCGCTCGAACAACACTCTCCTTTATGTTGATTTGGAACCAAGAAGATCGCAGGACTATTCCCTCTTCGATTTGTCACTATTCACTAAATCAGACTGATAAATCAATGAATGATTAGGCTTTTGTCGTCGATTTGGCATGAGTCATAGGCTTGAAAAAGGCCTGATCACCTCTTGCCAAGTACCAAATGAGTGGAAATCAAGAGTTACACACTTCCCTGTAGTCCTTGTTTACTCATCCAACCGAGCAATCAAACTAAGGGTCCTCCTATTGATTTCGTTTGAGCAGCAGGTTTACTAGATTCGAGCTTTCACAATTTTATCATGGACAACCACAACATGAGCCTAAGACTTATGTTCTTATCAAGTCTTCCAACAACAATTCAGAATTAGCCCATTCACTTGGGAGCAATAGTGAGAACCTGCATCAAATATTTAGTAAAAGTTCTACTTCTGGACAAAGATCACAACTCTCTACTGAACAACTTAATAGCATGTTAGCATACCAAGGCATCTTATCCCATGTGTTTAGTGTCAAGGAAATAAATTAAAATCTTAGATTGTTGACTCCAGAGCCTCGAATAATATAGAGGGAGATATCAAGGCCTTTAAAATTACAACCCATGTGGCAGTCACTCTGCAGTTTGAATAGCTGATGGTTCTTTCTCACCATTAGCAGGAATTGGATTAGTCGAATTGACAAAGGATCTTCAAATCTATTTTGTTCTTAACTTTCCAAAATTAAATTGAACATACTCTTAATCAGCAAACTTATTATAACTTATAATGCGTGACTAAACTCTATTCAAATTGTTGTGGATTTCTACTTATGGATTCAGGGAAGGTCATTGGTCATGTTGAGATACATGGTACTTTCTCAAAGAAAATAATTTCATCAGTTGGAAATATCATCCATCAAGTAGTATTTCTTAAGTTCAATTTAGATTTTCTGTTCGATGAAAGTCAAGTCATGTTGAATCACTCTGGTCTTGATCATCAAAATTTTGTGTACATTAAAAAGATATTTCCATATTGTGCTCTCGTAGTAGAAATATTTGAAAGAATGTGGATTCAGATGCTATTAAGGGAGCTTAAGGTTGAGATGAAAGACACAATTATGATGTTCACTAATAGCTAAGCAGCTATTAGTGTGACACTTCATCCCAGAAAAGGTTAATAATGGAATTGTTCAACTCAATTATATTCTTAAACAACTTCAAACTGCTGATATTCTTACCAAAACACTATCAAGGGTCAATTATGATGAATTAAAGTTCAAACTTGGCTTGTACAATATAAATAACTGAGCTTAATGGAGAGTATTGGAAAGTGTCAATCCACATAAGGAACCCTCAAATATATCTCATTGATTATATTTTCATTATTAGGAAGAAAAAGCTTTTACAAATAAAAAAAATTGGTGATAGAATATTAATGTCCAATAAAAGATAAAATATAAGAAGTTTTGTTATAAAAATTAGTTAAAATGTAAAAGAGAAGCATAAAACTGGTTTAGTGGGATAAAGGTTTTGTTGTTGTATCTTCTTAATTAGATATTTCCGTTTTCTATTTTTACTTAGTTTAGATGGATTCCTATTTCGGTTCCTTTCATTATTATATGTATGTAGTAAGATGTAATGCATAGAATCTAGTGAGAAATAAAATTCATTCCAAAGTTCTACATTAAGAAAATTTGATTATTGAAGATGCTGATTTTCAAATTACATAGATTATGAGCCAACATAGTTGAATTGGATTGGAGAAAGCAAATAATATTTTTCTACAAAATCACGGAAATATTTACCAAAATGGATAATGCTGTAAGGAATTACTAAACAATTTATTTCTCTCAGTTCTATGTTTGCACACATCTCCAAAGAACATATAGAAAAAAGAAGAGCCATCAGAATGGCCAACTTACAGAAGAGTATCATTAGTAACATTACCCTTATAAGAAAATTTAATGACTTACATGAATTTTGGCAAAATTTTAAAGTAAACCATGAAAGCCAATATCAACCCTCAAATTTTTCATCAACAACTTGGAATGGCAATGATTTTTTTTTAAGGAAGATTTGCATGCATACCACTCAATTCCTATGTATTTACATATCCAACACCTAAACTTCAATTTTTACATAAGCAAGAAAAGGTGTCTGTCGGCGATAAAAAGTTGGGGTGTGGTGAGTCGACTGTAGGAAGTTGTCGGTCGCCTGAATCGAAATTTCGTCCCCCACTTCGGAATAATGTTTTAATTTACATATAGATTTAAGTTTAGAAAAATATGAAATCAAACTGACCTCATAATTTTCACAGTTTAAATGAAAGAGCACTCTACCTCAAACATTGTATCTATCCCGAGAGATAAGCACAAGACTTATGGATGAGACTCGATCAAATAAACTAAGAAATATATGACATCCGTTTGGTCTGCGAAACTGTTTTATTTGCCGAAAATTTTTGCCGTTAATATGAAAAATTAAATAGGGTTTATTTTTAGCTGGGTTCAAAAAAGCTTCCTATGGCAAGCTGGTTTATTTTAAGCTGGGTTCGAAAAAACTTCCTATAAGGGCAAGCCCCTATAGTTAATTACATCTTAAATGACCGAAGTCACTTAAGAATACTCTCGATAAAAATCAAGAAAAAATATCTTCAAAGACTTTAAAAGGATAGAACTTTTCCAGAACTTTTCAACGAAATCGGACAAAGAGGTGTGCAAAAGGGGAATGGTTCAAACTTGGAACATTTATTGTTGAATCCATAGGAGGAAGAACTAGGAGATGCCACAGATCCGAAGGAGAACCTCGGTGACTTCCCAGTCTACACTATGGTTTGGCTTCAATTTTGAGGATAAATATTCAAGTATTTTATCCTGCCAATTTTATCTATTTAGGGCTTACATTCGTGTGAAACGATCACACAAATAGCCTGGAAGATGCGATGATTTAGGTCCATAATCCTAAAACGAGTTAGGGCTTAGATCGTACAGCAGAGCTATACAAATGCCTAAAGAAAAAGGTTGAGGATTTATGTTGCGCTAGGCAAACAACCTTGAAATTCTATTGATTGTTGTTTTAATTTCTAGAAAAGGAATGGTTTAGCTGGGGAAGACATGTTCTGCTGTTGAAGATGCTCGTGCTGCCCACCCCGCTAGTTCCAAGCTCCTTGTCGTGACGAGTTTAAGTTTTTTAGGGTGTCAGCTTATAATGTGAAATCCAGCGGACCTATGGATGTAGTTCTTCAGATATTTTATAGGGAACATGTTGAAGTTGTATAGTGTATAACACAACAGTAGAATATGTAGCACATGACAAGCAGTAGAGAGAACAGTACAACATGCGGGGTAAAAGAAAAGTAAAAAAATACAGCAGATAAGTGATTTGCAAGAAAGTAACATGCTGTAAACATAAAACAAACCTATATACCTGGGAGGTTCGATGTTCCTTAGGTGTAATTGATGCAACAGGTACAAGCAACAAAATTTGAGGAAACATTCTGAAATGCTTTATATAAACGAAAACAAAGAAACATCGTCTAGAAATCTCAAGAAAGATCGTCAAAAGACTCACGACAAGAGAAATGCGAGGAAATCGACGAATCGATAAATCGATTAAAATCATAGAAAACACGAAAAAATCGCGAAAAGCGAACACAAGTGTTTTGTCCAAAAATTCCAAGAAAAACATATGAAAAAGTCCGAAAAGAGGGGGACCGCAAGCACTCGGGTCGGGGCTAGGCTCAACTATATATTAGTACTTGAGGATCGTCAAAGGCTACTCGGTCACCAGGATGTATAGAGTCCGTCACT